CTCCTCCTCCTCCTCCTCCTCCTCCTCCTCTCAATTTCCCCCTTATTGAGGAAAGAGACTAGGTTCTTTGAGAGGAGCAGCTGGGATCTCCCTATGCCTAGTCAGGCCAGTCATATGAGAAATTGCCCTAGAACTGTCACATTAGATACTATGATAGCAAAACTACTGAGCATAAGACATTAATATGCAAAAAATGATTGATAATAACAGGACCCTCAGGGTCTGAAGTAACGGGCCACATATGTGGGCAACTGGGCATGCACACTGCGGCAACTTTTTCTTCCCAGCTTCAGATGGGCTTTGTCATCTGTTGGTGAAGGCAGATCTTCAGTTTAAGAGGAAAGGAACCAGTGGTGGGTTCCTACCGGTTTGGCTGAACTGGTAGTGATATGGCAGCCTGGGTCACTGAAACCAGCAGCGACCCAAGCCTGCCACACCCCAAACTGGTTCCCTGGTTGCCGCTGTCACCGCCACCTTGTTTTTGAATTCTGCGCATGCACAGAACAATTTTAATTGAACTTTGCAAAGCGAGTGCATGAGCGAACCGGCAGTAAAGCCAGCTGGAAACCCCCCCCCGAAAGGCACCATTGATGCATATTACAACTAGAACTAGTGACAGGCCCCCAAGTCTATTGGTTAAGATCACATGCCATGCCAAGACATGATTTTTAAATCATGTTTTTTTTTTTAATGGCTTGGATTTATATTTAATATTAAATTGTTCATCATGGTTTAAAAGGTACTATGGCAGATTCAATGGTGGTTTAGCTCACCATATGTAGGGAGCACGAAAGATGATCCTGGTAGAGATACTGAAAAACTGTTACCTAGGTAAAAGGGGCTGAAACATTTTTAAGTCTAGAATATCCAGATAGCATTCAGAAGTGGCTATACTATAGCTCTTGATACTATAGCTCTTGAATTCACTGAACTATAAGAAGGAGGATGAAGTACAGCACACCTAGAGTTGCAAGATTCTGTTATAGCAACCACTTTCAATAAAAGCAGTGTTTGTCATCTTACAAAATTGATTTCATGGTCTGGTCTGCTTAAGTGGGGCTGAAATTATGTGAAGTCAGTCAAATCTAGTTTTAGCCTCTTGGCACTTGTTCAGTGCTATTTGAAGCTCAATATTAACATTACATGTTAGTAGTCTCAAGAGGTATGTAGATATGCATGAGCATCTGTGCATATCATGACGCTATCACAAATTTTATGCCAATTATATAACATTATCAGAGCTTTTGCCAAATGGTGTACACAGATAAGAGAAATATATATTCTTCAACTTGGAAACAGTGAAAAGCTTTTTCGATGGACTCCTGTGATAACCTATACGTTATCTCTGAGGATCCAGATTATTGGGGGAAGTATGCTGATTCTTAAACTGCTTAGAGAGGGCTGTAAAGCACCGTGAAGCGGTATAGAAGTGTAAGTGCTATTGCTATCTCATTAAAAAAAGAACTTTTGTGCATGACATGGAATTGAGTACATATAGTTTTCACAATGGAACAAGTGGTTACCTCCCCACTTCTGTCCCACATACCTCTTCCCTCGTGTTTTGCATTTTATTCATCAATTATTTGGAGTCAGGAAACAAGCCCTAAGGATGCCATGTTTGTAGAGGACACTAAATTATTCAAGATAGTGAAAATACAATTTGATAAATGTCAAAGCAACTTCTTCAAACTGGATTAGGAAAACAAGAGTTCTTTGCCACAAGGTGCACTATATTTACTGCTTGCTGCACACCTTAATGGCGGAAAGACTGGTTTTTGCACAAAAATGGAAAAATAAGGAGACTCCCTTGGAACAAGAAATAATAAATAAGATACTGATGTGCACAGAGATGGACAGACTAACTCTAGAGCTTAAAGACAAGGATGACACAGAATATCATGAAATCTGGGACAAATGGTAATGATGGCTAGAAATGAGGGCAAAAGGCCGGGACAGAAAAACACAAACAAGTTAAGAATTGAAAAATATGGTATTAAGAATATGTGATAGGCAGGAATTGGATATGTATTTGTATGATTAGTAATTATATAAAAGAAAGGATCAAAGGACAGGTAATCGGACTGACTACATATACCTATGTAATGGATATAAAATGTAATTGTTGCAAGATCTAATCACTATATGGAAACGTTTATGCCAGAAATGTTGTACTATGTCCAATGTTTTTAATTTTTATCTAATAAAAAACTTTTTAAAAAAGAATTCTTTGCCATATGTATAGGTAGCCTAAGCTCTAATGATTCAACAGAAAAGAGATATTTTGGTTGTGGTGGATAGGTTAAAAAAAATCCCCTCATCATTTCAGCATGCAGTCGCAGAAATGAAAAAGGCAAACACTGTGTTTGGGAAGATCAGGAAATAGGTTAAAAATAGAACAGCCAGTATTATAATGCTTTTATATAACTCAGTGGGGAGAGTGCAACTGAACTGTTGCATAAAGCTCAGGTAGTCCCATTCCAAACAATGGGAAGTTCAGGCTGAAAGTTTTTAGGTTTGAAAAAGAACGGTAAATGGGGAAACAGACGTTACAATAATTACTGTCTTTCAAATGGTTTTCCCTAAAGGAGGAATAGGGTAGAAAGACTGATAATCATATAGCTGGAGTGGATAATAGTCAAGCTACTGATTCACTCCAATTAGGATACTGCACATAATCCAGCTGAAATTATTTATCTCCACTCTGGTTTTGGCAATCCCTTATTTATGTTTTTATTGAGATCTGAAATTAGCACAGTACTGTGGTTGCCAAGCCCTATCAATGGTTTTGTCCTACAACTGCATTTATTAAATTAGCTGTAGATCAGATTATACCTCTTGGTATTTTAGTAGCAGAAGGGCTTTATTGTAAAGATGTAAGTCATGCTCAAAAATTATTGTTCATTTTTAGTCTAATGAATTGTCATGTAAAATGACAGGTATATACTTCAGAGAGTATTCTCCTTGTAAACACCTGACTGTAAATATTTTATTCGTTCCTGCCTATAGGACTGTGAAAGCTGCTAATGTACTATATGGAAGCAGTGTTAGGAAACTGGTCTAAATAGGAAGATTTGGGATAATTTGAAGGGTTTGTTTCTCCCAACTGAAAAATGGGAAAAATATTGCTTCTATAAATACAAGAAATGTGTGCATAGATTTTTAGAAGCCTAGTGCAATTGATAAAGCAGAACATTTCTTTTCTTTTAGGACAACAATTCTGGAAGCATCAAATTTATAAAATCTGGTTATTGTACCATCCTTGCTGAACATTACCTCTCTTATGGGGACTAGAATTTGGCCAATAGCCTTTGGAAAATACTGAAGCATATAGCAATATGAAATATATTTATACAGCATTACTCCATTGGCTTAGAGCCTCAATATTTCAGGAGTATACCGGTAGATGGTTTTTGAAAGATTTATATTTAGAAAAAAAAAATTCCCTAGCAGAGGAGAAAATTACATTGATACATGATGCATTGAAAAGGAAATGATGGTTGTGGTCTAAAACTAGTCTTAAAATAGACTGATTGTGAGAAGTAAGACATTATTTCTACCTGTGTTGTGATTCAGATTTTATTCAATGAGAGAGAAGAATTCCTGCTACCCAGGAATCCAGAGGAATCAGTGGTAACTAAAAAAACTATTGTATAATATTAATGAAAGCCAGTTTGGTGTAGTAGTTAAGGCATCAGGCTAGAAACAGGGAGAGTGTGAATTCTAGTCCCACCATAAGCACAAAGCTTGCTATGTGATCATGGACCAGAAAGGAGGTAGAGGCGAATCACTTCCGAAAAACCTTGCCAGAAAAACGGCAGGAACTTGTCCAACCAGTCTCAGAGAATTGGCACGATTGAACAGAATAGGAAAAAAAGAGGAAAGAATGTTAATAGATCATCCTCCCACAGTCAGTCTAATTCTTTCCTTGCAACTGCCATCATTTCCAACCTGCATTATTCCCAGCCAGGAATCACATTGGCAGGATTAATGGGTGTTGAAGTTCAAACGCTTTGGAGAGTTCGAACTGAGAAAGGATGAAATGAAACCTCAATGGGACAGTATTTCCTGACCGGGGCAGCAATACTATTATGAACTTCGAAGCAACTGCCTCCGGCTGAGTGTCATAAAAGTGTTGGAAACTATTCTTATTTGCTTTGTATTTTATCTGCTTGGGAGAAAGATCACCTTTGATCTTTCCTTCCCTTACAGTAATAAAATATTATACCAGGCTTTGGATACAGCTTCCTATAACTTGGGATAGCTAAAGCGTACTATTTGCTGCGCAATTATTTTTTTAAAGATATTTCAGATCACAGTCTACAGAACCTTATTGAGTTAATAGTGGTCTTATGTAACTCCTACTCATTTTAATTAAACTTAGGCTGGAATTTCCTAACACAAACTTCCCCAAGCAGCTGCCCAACAAATGTGTTGCGCTAAAGTCCCTTTAAGAATATGGAGCATGGGACTAATCCAATGTATGTTGAAAACACTAAACTGAGGAACAGATGCTCCAGTGGGACTCCCCCCCCACCCAACAGAACTATGCTTTGGAAAAGCCCTAGGGAGAATGCCACAAAGCCCAGGAAAAAGTGGTATAATTCATCAAGAAGATGGGCAAAGTTGATAACTAAAGTATTAAATTTGAGAAAGGAGGATTTTTGCTTTGCCTCTCTAAAAAATTAAGTTAAGCTTATTTTGAGGTTTACAGTACCATTTTCTACAATTTCACACCTTAAATGACAAGACACCATTCAGCTCAATTTAGTTATTTTGATGGGAAAGGTTGTAATAACTACAAAAGTATGGTTTAAGGAGAGCATGTAACTATTGTGAATGAGATGGAATAGAATAGAATAGAATATTTTTTTATTGGCCAAGAGTGAATGGACACACAAGAAATTTGTCTCTCATGCATAAGCTCGTAGTGTACATAAAGTATAAACAGCAAGTAATTGGTCATAAATCATAATTACAATCATTAATCATAAGTTACAAACAACAATTGATAAATTGTAAGAAACCAATAGGAGAAGATAGTAAGAAAGATGAGAAGACAAGAAAAGATGAGAAATGAGACAGTGCTGGGGGAATTAAGTGTTCAGCAGAGTAATGGCACAGGGTGAGAAACCATAGTTTTAATCAAATCACCACAGAATGTAGGGGTCTTAATAGAATGGACTATATGGGTCATAAAATCTGACTGCTTGCTCAAGGCAACAATTTGTTAAACCATTTCAATCATTTTTTTCAATCATCAATCAATATCAACTAACTTTGAATGCTCATATTAAGGGGCACTTCAAGAAGCTACTCACCTCGTAGACATTAAACTGGCTTTGTCCTCGTGCCAGTTCTCTATAGCTGGTTGTAAATTCTCCAATGAAATCATGACTGTTAACAGGAAATAAGATTGTGAGAAGCGATATACAACAAAGAATCCTATTTCTTTATATCTTGATGGTCCAAGATGAGGAATAATAAAACATCATAGCCAATCAGTGGTAATTCTGCCTATTCCTTACTTCCTTAATTTGTGTATTTTTGGTCCAGCTACCAATATATGGAGTTCTAATCTAGTCTACTTTTCATTCTTCTCCTGTCATTTACTTAGACAATGGACTATATTTTAAATAAAGTGATTCATAAGGCAAAGCCGGCCTTTCCAAATCTGAGGGCTGTGAGATGTGTTTGGATTTATAATTCTCATCATTTTCAACATCACAGCTGGAATTCTAGTCTCAATACATGCGGAAGACTTTGGATGCCAAATCTTTTCTCTTTTGTGTTGAAGACAGGGCTTTTTGCCTCAAGCTCCATAAATCAAATTATGCTATGTGCTCTTGTTGCATTTTCTTTTCATTTAATTTTCATCAATGTAGTTTTTTTTAAAAAAAATGACTAAGTGCAAGGAACTAAATGTTACTTACCTGCCATCTCGATCCCAGTCATACACCTCTACTTTTATGGTTCTGCAAAAGATGACATTAGTGGTCAAGTTGCAATTCCTATTACAGTTTTCTTCTGAGAAAACCACTGGCATGAAAAAAAAAGTCAAGCTGTGCATTAGAGATAACATTCTTTCTTTCAAGAAAGCTGAGCAAGTAAGCTTGGTGGGATTTAGGGGATATTAAGACTATTCCAGCTACCCTACATAGGACAAAATCTCCTAAGTAGGCCTACAACTGCCCTTCTAGCCTTTCCTGGATAAGCATCTCAGAACCGATGTATTAAATAAGCACATGTTTACATCAAAGTCTCTTGCCATGTAGTGAAAATGGAATTGCCAGGAGGTGAATCTATATAGAATCTTTATTCTGATTCAAACAGAAGATTTGATTGAGCAAAGAAGTTGCTAGCCATGTAGTAAATAGGCTGTAAGGATGCAATTTTTTTTAAAGTGAGCCTTTTTTGCTGCCTCTGGACCATTCTACTTGGCCAATTAAAATATCTCCTTTATCATACAGTTCTATTGGGAAAATGGCTGCCCACAATATGCTTGAAGGCAATCATTAAAAGCTTACAGTAATTTAGACAAGGCAGAGGATTTCTCTTTTTCTTTCTTTCTTTTTCTTTCTCTCTCTCCTTCCTTCCTTCTTTCTGGCTGATGGTTAGTTTTGTTAAAGGGGGGAGGGTTATTGCATTCTTTGATAGGGTCTCCCCTATTTGAAATTAAACACAGTTTGGGAATTCTCTTGGTTATTAATTAATGTTCAGATAACAGCTGTAGCCAAAAAGTTTCAGATGTGGAGACACAACAAAGTAGGTATATTACCCCCATTTCAAAAGAGGAAATGAAAATAAAAAAGCACTGTTAGCAATATTCATCTAGGCAGAAATCAAAATAATTTTCTTTTAAACCCAGGCTCTACCCAGGCTGTGTCCTAGTGTCTTTGGATCACTTTCCTGCCAATACATAAAACTGGAAAGTTATTTTTCTGTGTTCCAAGATGAATAGGTGCAAATTAATCAGCAAAAGTGATGTATCATTTTTGTGATGGCGCCCCAAAATACTCCAAGGAAGCATTTTCTCTCTCTCTCTTTCTCTGAAGGTCTGATTTCCTGTCTTTTTAAGCTTTTTCTGGCAAGTGAAGACAACGTCAGACAGAATTTTGATCAGCTTTGGTATTTTGCACTGCATCTGAATTCTCAAATTTTAGTTACATGTGATCTTTTTATATCTGTTATCAGCTATTTTTTAGTTTTCTTTTTTTGTAATATTTTAATTACTTATTTTTCTCTGTGAAGTTGAAGGATGAGATACATATTATTCTAATAAATGCATACAAACTGTGGTTTGTCTTTAAAGTATGAGGAAGAAGGGAGGTTGCTACAAATGTGTTTCATCTATTTTTCCTGGGTTACATTGGAAAGATGTGAACCATTTAAATGTTGATAAACAGACAGTCTTCTGAGACAAAATTTGCCAATGTCTGGTAGATATTATTTAACCCTAACAGTTTAATATATGCTTTACAAGGATGCCAGAGATATTTGTTGTTCCCAAGTAGACAGTGGGGGACACTGGCACTTTTACCCTTAACTCCAATGCAATTTTCAATGTCAGGCACTGATTATTCTCAGTAAATACTCCAGGCTAGTGGCTTCTTAAACTCTTGTTAGCAAAATGACAGTGATTAAATTGCCTGTGGCTGTATGTATGCTGACATGTGACATTTGAATTCTCAGAGGTAGAGGAATAAGTGGCGATGTCAGAGCAGACTTGAGTTCCATTTGGAGCTAATTTACAGAGACTCTGCCACATCGCCTCACTCACTTCTGTGACTTGAGAATTGCTTTCTCGATATTTTCAGTGCTTTTTTAAGTCAACCAAACTTCCAAACTATTGCACACACCAGCAATTTAAAAAAAAGGCTCATGTTATAAAAGCAAAGCAAAACAGAAGAATGGCAAACAAACCCAATATTTCAACTACTTTATAATAGATGAGCAGGGATGGGCAACAATGAAAAAAGTTCTTGTAGGAGGTAAAACATATTCACTGAAACCAATAAACACAACTGATGAGAAGTATTCTATCAATCATAGAAGCAGATCTCATACACAAATGCTCTAAAAATGGCAAGTCACACTTTGGTGGAAACTAACATTCAAGAAGAGTGTCCTTTTATTTAGAACAGTGGTCTCCAACCTTGGCAACTTTAAGACCTGTGGACTTCAACTCCCAGAGTTCCTTAGCCAGCAAAGCTCTGGGAGTTGAAGTCCACAGGTCTTAAAGTTGCCAAGGTTGGAGACCACTGATTTAGAGCATTCCTGCCTGATGACTGATCCCAATGTTTTTCATACAATAAATGCATTCTACAAATGTGCTTAGAGTGACTGATAGCTTGAGTTTTATTCCTTCCTTTCCAAAAATAGAGAATAATCCTTTTAAAAAAATAAGCCTGAGGTGATTTTGTTGGTAAACAGCAATTCTGAGCGATCAAGTGAAGAATTTGCTGAGTTCCACTAAAGGTTCTTTTCTAAACAGTCATGATGGGATTGGCAACCTTTTCTTGGGTTGCTTATTAAATGCATGCATGTTTACTTTTGAGTTTTGAAATTTGGGGAGATTTTGAAGAAAGCAATTTATTGTGAATAGTGTAGAATGCACAGATTTGAACTATGTTCAGTACATTTGATACTGGACAGAAAAAACCCAAAACCTTCAGAAAGTCAGGAATTCAGATCTATCTTTGTTTATTCTTCATTTTCTTGATATATTTGGCTGGCAAATTTTGCAACCAAATCTTACACATACCAAACTCATTTATACTCATGTATTGTGTGCACATGATTAAGGCAATTGTCACATGGGTGGGACATAAAAGCCATCCAGGTTTCACTTATATCCAGGCTTTTGTACAGGATCGCAAGATGATTTGCATTGCACTCGGTCCTATTTTCCTCACACTAGTTTATGAAGTTCATGAAGTAGGTTGAGTTGAGAATAATTTTCAAGGAGCTTTCATGGCTGAGGGGGAACTAGAATTTAAATCTCCCAGCTTCTGGTTCAGTATCTTAACCACTACAAAATATTCACTGGCTTTCTGGATTTGCCTCTGGAAACTCTTCAATTTCTTTCTCCCAATTTTATATCTACAGGTGGTCCTCAAAGTCCCATGATGATGATAGGAAAAGTGGCTTATAACCAGTCCTTGAACATACAACTGTTGCAGCAACCTTGCAGTCACATAACCATTATCCAGATACTGGGCATCTGGCTTGTTCTTAACAGTCACATGTTGCTTCACTTAATGCACCACAATGATTTTTTTGGTCCCTATTGTGACTGTAAGTCCAGGACTACCTACATTAATAGTTGAATTAGATCTTTTTTATCGTTTTCATCCATTTTTTTCTTTTTGCAGGTTGCCACCCCAATCAATACATGTCTTTTAGGGGTGGTAATGATTATAGAATGGAAAATAAATGAAAATAAAAGGCTTCCAGATTAGATAAGTATGCAAAAGAGAGCCTATCAAGAAACTGCATTAAGACTGCAGTTTTGCTTTATTTCAAATGTTGATAAGTTGCCAATATCAATTTACTCAGGGTGGTAACATCAAAAAAGGATTAGAGAGAGCTTTCAAAAAAATGCCCCCTTCAGTGAATGGGGTTTAAATTGAAAATCCAGTTCAATGTAAACAAGTGCAAAGCAATGGCATCCTGTTGCAACACCTCCTGCCCTCAGATTTCATGCATAAAGAAGAGGGGGCTGAGTTGGCAGTAACTGATCGGAAAAGATCAAGAAAGGGAATTTGGAATCAACAGTTCCATGAAAATGTCAACCCACATTAATCCTTGGAATCATTAGGAAGAAAACAGAAAATAAAACTGCCAATATAAAAAACCAAGTGAGTGCTCTCAAAAAGCCTTGGGCTGAGACAGCACTCAAAACAAGCGTCCAGTTGTGTTCATTGCACCTCACAAAGGACGTTGTAAATCTGGAAAAAATATAAGAAAAGCAACCAATATTATAAAGAGCCCAAGGAGCAATTGTTGGAACTGCTAACAAGCCCAATGAAGGAAACCACAAACATGGGAAACAGCATATATAATTTTGATTTTACACAGAAGGGAATGATCTGGAAAACCAGTCATAAAGATGTTTGGGATGAACCAGACTATAATTTTTATAACAATATTAGGCATGGGAAATATGATGGTGATATATACCATTTTATACTATGCAAAAATTGTCACAGTTTCTCTAACAATATTAGATCCTAGAATGATCTAATTAATGTTACCACAGGAGGAATTCAAGACTTTTCTCAATAAAAGGAAGTAACAATTTACCCAATGAATAGTTTTCTGTTATGAGATATGCCTACTGGCATTGAATTAACTGGTTTTCAAAGGAGAGAAAACCATTCATGGAGGATTGGGCAATGAATAGCTACACATGTTAATGCATCTGTAGATTGTTTCCTTGAACAACAGGGAGCACTCTTTTAGTACAGTATCAGCCAAGGAACAATAGTGGAAGAAGGCATCATCCCCATATTTTGCTTGTGAGCTTTTAGGATACCCTTGATTGTAACACAGAATGCTAGGGTAGGGGAGCCTTTAGCCCTAAGCCTGGTGGTGTCATTGTGTTGCTCTGGTTACAGAGAGGGACTGGGGCTCAGATGATAAGGAACATATTTCAGAGCATGGCACACAGGAGAATATGCCAAATAAAGGTATCATAATTCCTCCTACTTTTATAAACATCGACTCTTCAGATAGCAAGGATTCGTAGCAGCTTTATAATTCATCCACTGGACTAGGAAAAGGTTAATATTTTAAAGCATACTTTCAATCAGGAAACAGAATGAGACTATTGCGTCTGTTGTCTTGATCTGTGACTAGCTTGGTCCCAATGTCATACGTTTCCATAGCAACAAAAGCTAAAAATATACCATCTAAAATGGGGGAAAGGCCCACGCAGCAGTCAAAACAAACTAAATAAAGATCAAATTGCAAT